CGCCCAGCAAAGAGGACAAGCGACCACGCACGGCCTTCACCGCGGAGCAGCTGCAAAGACTCAAGACTGAGTTCCAGACCAATCGGTACCTGACGGAGCAGAGGCGCCAGAACCTGGCGCAGGAGCTGGGCCTGAACGAGTCCCAGATCAAGATCTGGTTTCAGAACAAGAGGGCCAAGATCAAGAAGGCCAACGGTACTAAGAACTCTCTGGCTTTGCACCTGATGGCACAGGGACTGTACAATCACGCCACCGTGTCGTCGAAGGACGAAAAATCCGACAGTGATTGAGTTCTTACTTATGATTGGTTGGGTTTCAGTGACGTCATAGCCTCCAGACGAAAAAGAAGCTACAGTAATCCTATATCCGTTCTACTTTTATTTGACAGATGTCATCAGAGTATTTATCAACACTACAGCAGTATTAAAGTACTACAAATGTCTATCACTACACTGAATGTTGACCCCCGACCCCCGACCCCCGGGTCTATTAAAATACTCCACAAGGTCACAGGACAGAGCACCAGTCTCCATGTTCCTACAGGAAGGTTCTGGTGGTTTTTGGAGGTTTCAGCCGACAATGCAATAATCCCACAGATTAAAGGGCCAGTGTACAGAGAATACCAGCATAAAAATCCTTTTTAAAAATGTTAGAGACATCTCTGCAATATCACGTCTATGAATGAAAAGATGAAGTTGTATAAAGGTTTCTTCTCCTCCTCCCCGCTGCTCCACCCAGCTCCTGCAGGAGGACGCAGCACCACCTGCTCCACACCCTCCAATCCCGACCGTCTATTTTCCTACATTAGCCCTCAGTGCGACGACAGAACCAACGATTGTCCCAGCGCCTGACCGTCCACCCGTCAGAGACTGAAGTCAAAAAGTCCAAAGAATGATTCCTCTGCTGCATCCAGGCTACTGTGAACTCAAACCTTACATTTTTCTTGCCTGTAAAAACACGGACGTGTGGAGGGAAGTTTCTTACTAACGAATTGGGCAGAAGTTTTATATAAAAATGTAGAAAATGTCTGTTTTTCCTAACAAAAAAAGAAAAAGAAAAAAAAAGGACCTTGTTGATGTCTGTGCTGTGTCGGAGCAGCTAATGTCAGTTTAACAGCAATACCAGAGCTGGGACGCTGCCTCCACCGTCACAGGACGACCACCACGGTGTCAGACCTGAGCAGACATTCGACCACATGTTCATCTACGGCTGCAGCAGACGGTGGCACGGTGGCTCAGTGGCACGGTGTCACGGGTGTGTGCAGACGGAGGACTTCATATGTGTATTTATATAGATTCTATTGAGAAAAGAAATCTATCCAATGACCAGTGTTGCTTTAGAGTAGAAGTCTGAGGTGTTTACACTGCTTGTTTATCTTGCAATAACTTTGTCTGTTTTTTCTTTTCTTTTCTCCGTTGTTTGTGAATGAACCTTTCTTTACGGGGCCTTTGCATGAAAGCTGCAATTTGTGGACAAATAACTGTGTTTCTGAGCCTCCCTGGAGCGGAGGTGGACGCAGCTGCGTCTGTGACTGTATCCATACCAAACTGTGGACCCTTTGACTTTCTTTGTTCTTTTCCTTTTCTTGTTGTTGTGTACCTGCAAAAAGTGTGTGTGAATTCAAATCCACCAAACCGAGAACACACTTTGCCTTAAAAGTTCGGAGCGTGAACTTTTCTATCAAACAGAACTGTGCCGAGAATCAGAGAAGCAGTACGACTCCAGCTGAATGCCTTCTATGAAAACTGCTGGTACGACATTATGAATCTACTCATCAGCGTATATCTATCTATATATGTTTAAATAAAAATGACAACACAGAGTTGTAGAATACAATGCTATTTTTTATTTTATGTTTGCGGAGTATTCTTTGGTATAAATGTACATAGTTTGTATGATCCTGTATTAATGGTGTAATTAACTGGAAACTGCAAAAGAAGAAGAGTGAATAAAGGCTGAAGATTATGAACAGGAAGTTCCTGCCTGCTGTGTACACACACACACACACACACACACACACACACACACACTCTGAGGACCAGGTTTGAATCCTCAGAGGCTGATCTACCAACGCCACATTTGACCACAGACTACGACTAGAGCAGACAGAGAGGTCACAGTAACAGCAGCAGCAGCAGTAACAGCAGTAACAGCAGTAACAGTAACAGCAGTAACAGTAACAGCAGTAACAG